GAAAATAATTGTCTAATTTTTTTTATACTGATTATCCAACCAGTTTGTACTACTTATCTAATTATTTTCACTGGTTATCCAAATAGCTCGTACTGCTTATCCAATCATTTTTTTTTTTGGAAAAATGGTTGTCCAATGTTCTCAACCGATTATCCAACCAACAATTTGTACTGCTTCTACAGCTTTTTTTTCTTTTCCATTTAAAACCACTCTAAACATATTTTTTTAAAAATACATTAAAAAAATAGAGTCATCATCATCTTGGGATTCTAGCTGCCGGTTGCCATTGCTGTTCTTCATCAACATCCCCATCAATTGGTGACTATCATCAACTTCGATCAGGAACTTCTGTCTGCGTCTGTCTTCGTCGTCCCCCAGTCAATTTACCATGGTTGTTCGTCCCCTGGCTGTTCGTAACCACCATCATGTTGCCGTTGCTTTTAAATTTTTCAAACAATTGTTGTTCGCTGCTGCTTCCATATCACCGTCGGACGTTCGAATCTTCATATCCGATTGGCTTTCATCATTAGATTTTTTAGCATCAGTGACTTTTGACATCTCCCAATTAACTTTCCACGTCCATGGTTTTCATCATTGGAAATATTTTGCCGTGATTGACTGATTGAATTCCTTTATAAAAAGGACAGTTAAGTCATTTTGTTTGTTTCAATTTTGACCTTTTTGAAACCGGACAATTTTTTGAGACAAAATTATTCTTTAAACTGGACTTTTTTTTTTAGGACGGAGGGAGTATGGGCAGCCATAGCCCCTTAACACTATTAAACAACGATGGTCGGTAAAGGTAGCAGTAGCACCAATGGAGTAAACAATGGATGGATATGGTGCACTTTGAACTGGGCTCCAGGGTTGTTTATACCCATGGTCATTGCCTCCGCCGCTGGAGCCACCCGATCTATTTGCCGATCAACTTCTCTCCACCAAGTTTTCAAACTTAATGATCTCACCGTCTCATGTTGCAGTTATGATTGGCTCTTTGAGGACATGTTAGTGGCGCGTAGAGAATGAATGTTTTTGAAATTTGGACATATCTTTTAGCTTTAATACGTCCAGAATATTAAAAAACAATGATGTTTATTGCATGATGGAAATTAGAAGGATTACCCATTACTGGAATCGAATTTCCTTGAGCACAGGGAGTACAAGTTAGGAAGTAAAAGAAAAGGAATTGTAAAAAAAATAAAAAATTAATTAAAATAATAATTTTTAAAAATATATATAATTATGAAACTATCACTAGACCCATAAACATGCGAAAAATAGCTTTCCGTCACGATTTAACACCCAAAATAACCTAGGTGAAACAATTCTCTGATCTGAAAGTTATTTTGGACATTAAATAATGACGAAAAGTTATTTTTCACATGCTTTTGGGTATAAGATAATTTCATAATTCTGTATTTTTCTTAAATTATATTGATATTTTTATTTTTACTTTTACAATTCTTTTTCTTTTTTACTTCCTAACTTGTACATGTTGGTACTATAATAATTATTAAATTTCAAAAATTACTTTTTCATTTGTATCTTAACTTCTGATTATAAAAAAATGAAGAAAAAAAAAACAAAGAAGAGAAATTCAAATTGAAGTAAATTTAAAAATTAATAATTAAATAATTATATTGAGTTGAAAATAATTAAATAACCTAGAACAAACAACTTGTCTTACGTAATTTTTTAGTTTTTTTTTTGGTTTAAAATGATAAATATTAATTTTGATATTTACTTCAACTCAAATTTTTCTTCTTTATTGTTCTAATTTTTTAATTTTTTTTTTATGATCTAGAAGCTAAAATATAAAAGTTAATTCAATTTTGAAATTTACAAAAAGTAAAAATTACAAAATTATAAAATTACCCCTGAACCCAAAAGCATGTAAAAAATGAATTTTCGTCACTATTTGACGGTCAAAATTAACACAATAATTTCGGATGAATTTTTCGCTTAGTATGGTGACCTGTTTTGCAAATAAATTTGATTGATGACCTATGATGAAATTATCAAATAGTTCAATGACCTGTTTTGTGGTTCACTCTTCTAATATTCAATGATATTTAGGATAAATCAAAATTAATTATAATAAGAACCTGAGGGTAACAATCAAGCTGAGTAAGAAATGGAAATTCTGAGTACAAGAAAGGTAGCTTAACTGCAGTTAGTCATAACAAGAAATTCTACAAAATGCTTGAAGGAGCATTTCTGTAACAGTTGCAGATCTAGAACGAATTCTTACTGGGGGCCATGGATACATTAGCTTCATATTGTAATAGTGTTGATCATAATGAATTTTCTTATCTTGAAGAGCTTTCATATCATAAATGCGTCCAATAATATTATTTTAACAAAAAATTAAGCCAAAAATCATTCAAGAGTTAAATATTTTATTCAATAACATATATTATTGTGTTTAGAGCTAAAAACTCTTTGTATAACTATTACATCAATAATCAAAATCATAACTTTTTTAAGTATTAAATTTTTTCAATAAAACACTTGTACCCATGAATATACATGCATGTACACAAAACAGGGGAAGAAAAGCGAATATTTCAAACACATGATGAGTATCTAAATTATGGAATAAGAAAGACTTGTTCAAATTGAATTATTTAAATATACCTAACTATTATACTAGGTTCTTGGCCGGGGCCGTTGCCCAAACGTGTTTGTTTATCAGTGAATAAGAAAAATAGAGTACAAGAGAGAGGATGAAAATGTAGTAAAGAAAATGATTTAACAAAATAGATTTTGCCTTAATTTCCCCCCTTTTTTCTACATAAAATCTTTGAATTGGATTTTACAAATAATTTTTTTGTAAAACTTACAAAAGAGATCATTTTTTCAAATTAGATTTTGCAAGACATGTTTTCATAAATGTTAAAAAGGTGAACATAATTTACAAATTGAATTTTGCAAGCCATGTTTTGGAAAAAGTTAAAAAAGAGATTTTGCAATCCATGCATGTTTTATAAAAACTTACAAAAGAGAGCATAACTTGCAAATTAGATTTTTCAAACCATATTTGGCTAAAGAAAATAGTTCTAAAACACAATTTGTTTTAAGGAAAAAAATAACAAATATGTTAGTTTCGAATCCTAATATGGCTTGCATTATAGTAAGAGAAAAAGTACTTATATGTTTTTTGGAAGATTTGGAGAAACTAATCATGTTTTTGCAAAAATTATAACATAACTTATAAATTTGATTTTGCAAAACATGTTTTTGGATAATTCGAAAAAGTGAACACAACTTGCAAATCTGTTTTTGCAAGCCACGTTTTTTAGAATTTCAAATACTTAACATAACTTCCAAATTAGTTTTTAGAAGCCATGTATAGAAGTAAATATAATAAAAAATGTACTTCATAAAATAGGAAGAATCAATAGTAATTTTAAAGTGAGACATTACATGAACATAATTTGCTATTCTATAGCAAACCATGTATTGGGATAGCGTTAGAGTTTAGTTTTAAGAAAAAAGTGAACATAACCAGTAAATTAGATTTTGCAAGCCACGTTTGGGATAATTTACATAATATAAACATAACGTACAAATCATATTTGCAGGCTATGTTTTGAGATAATTTATAATAGTGAATATAACCTGCAAATTAGATTTTGCAAACCACGTTTTGGGAGAATTTACACAATATAAACATAACTTACATTTTATTTTGCAAGTTATGTTTTGAGATAATTTACACAAGTGAACATAACTTGCAAATTAGTTTTTGCAAACCATATTTTGGAAAAATTTACACAATATAAACAAAAGAATTAGTGGTGATAACAATGGCATTTGGTGGCCATTTTTATCGCTTTCAACCAAGACCAAAAAAAATATTTTAAAATCAAAATTAAGTAGAGAATGAGTAAATTTCAAAGCACATATTCTAACATATATTAAGCAGAGAATGAGAAGAACGACATTGTGGACGGGCGGAGTTTAAATAATAGTACTCCTAACATGTTTACTTTAAATCGATCAATAAATAAATAATCAATACTTTGTAATCCTTTCCTATTTTTTTTTTCAAAATCGAATATGTAAGGAAAAAAATGTCCATATTCAATCATAATGTCATTCACTAATTATTTTGAAATTGATTATAACATATCTTCCAAATCTCGCTCAAATCAAAATATAAATGAGCAATAATTTGTGATACTTTCTTAATTTATTTAAGCCGAATAACTGTGGATAAAACGTTCACATTTAAGTATAACTATCATTTCTTAATAATTTTCAAATTATTTCAAATGAAACTTCCATGTTTTCGTCAAATCATTGAATAAATGATCACTAATTTGCGATTCTTTCCTTAAATAATCAAATTCATCCATAAATTGTTATTGTTTCCGTAAATTACATTTAACAATTGCGTTGAACATTTATATAGTAAAAATTTTTAGCGGGAAACGAGTTAACGGGAGTATGACACGTGTATTTTTTTCACAAACTTATTTTGCTTTAATATAAATTTATAGATTACAGCAATTTATGCATCAATAGTATAATTATAATTCACGAAACTTGTAACTTCATTTGATTTTTAAAAAAATATAGTATCTATTAGTACAAATTCATTTAAGATGTTAAACGTAATTAACCCAATATACAATTAAATGAAAGTAACATATAGTACCTATTAGTACAAATTCGTTTCAGATGTTGAAGGTAATTAACCCAATATGCAATTAAATGAATGTAAATTAAGCAAAAAATAAAAGTTAAAAATTACATAAAACATAAATTATCTATTTGTTTGTTATTATATTAAAATGATATATATATATATATATAATAAAAAGGCTTATGGTGGGGTCAGTGCGGGCCATCCGCCAGTTGGCATCGTGAAAACTCAATCTTAGAAATGGCAAAGCACATTAGCAGAGCAGTCCACTGTCCAACTTAGCTAGCTCGCCAACCCAATGACTTTATGCAAAAAAGCACCAGCCTGCATAAGGATCTGAATTTAGGCCTGCCCATCAAATTGGAAGGATCATTCATGACTATGGTAAAGATGATAACATTTTTCATTTTGTACACTCTCACGAGATGAAATTATAAAAGCTAGCTTCTGGTCCCTTCGGGACATCCGATAGAATTGGAACGATACGGAGAAGATGAAAGCTAGCTAGTGCAGTGAATTAACTAAGCCAATAACACTTGAAACTAAACATGTATGGGTATCAGAAGTGGACCTTTGCCCCTTCCAACATTAAAACTTCTAGTAATATTTCCATTAGGACCAAAAATTTCCAACTTGTATGATCCATGATATCCTCTAAAGGAGAATTGCCCTTCATTATCAATGAAGCCATGAGCATGGGATAACCATTCCTGTTTGAGTGCGAGAAATCTTCGTCCAGCTTCAGTCAAATCACCTTCAGCATTCACCAGAAATGCATTTTGTCTGTTCATTAACAACTCCCAGAATCCCCACAAAACAATGCCATCTACCGCTGGATGAGCAAAAGCTTCCCTTAGCATAACTTCCAAGTCATCAGCTCTAGTGTACTCGTTGGTAGAAGACACGTCGAGTTCTGTAAACCAAATCGGGAGCCTTAAAATGCCGAGTTTATCAAGTGCAGAACGCACAATTGGCCCTACTGGAGAATCTATATGTCCTTGAATGCCAATCCCACCAACAGGGGCACCCTGCTGCTTCAGATCAAGAATCAGCTGTGTGTACTTTTCAGGAGATGACCTAAAATCATTGCCATCTTCGATATGGAAATCATTCAGGAATAGGGTTGGAAGTGGATCTAGTTGACGTGTTGTGTTGAACATGTATGCTCGGATTGAGTTTCCTAATCGATCTTTGTAAAACGAACTATGCAATATCTCATTGTCCACATCATAATGCTTGAATTTTCCTTTGTACCGCGTGACCAGCCCTGTTACGCGATTTTGAACAGCTGAAATTAAGTCATTGCCGTTTAAAGCGCGCACCCATGGTTGAACTGCATTCGGATCCTCCCAGAAGATGGAATGCCCTCGTACTTTAATATTGTGGCTGGTACAGAAGTTCAACAGATCATCGGCGTCTTTGTAATTGAGGTTCCCTTGCTGTGGTTCGGTATAAAACCATTTCAGCTCATTCTCAAAGACAGACCAAGTAAAATGCCTGACAAAAAAGTTAACAAAGTCTTCATTGTCAATGTTGTTTCTGCTCAGACATGATCCGATTGGGAAACTGTTTCGAGTCTGTTTTACTCTAATTTTGGTGCCATTGCTTGAATCTGTTCCAGTTAATCGCAAGATCACATCGCGCTTTCTCACCATATTTGTTTGTTTTTTTAAGGACTGAAACCTTGCACTCCTGTCAACTGCAAAGATTTGCATTCCAGCAAGCATCAAGTCAATTCCTGCATCAGGACCCTGAACATAAACCATCACATTAGTCGGTTGTTTTTCAATTCTAAAAGATCCTGCAACTTCATGCCATGTTTTATCATCACCGATCTCAATGCTTCCTCCATTAACCCATTGACCATCTATGCTTACAGCAACATTGACAAGTTGCGGCCTAATTGCTCCAGGACCAATTCGAACCCATGCAGACACTTGATACGTCATATAGAGTTTGATTTTTCCTGTGACCGTCTGAGCCGGACCCATCCATGGCGCTGCACGATTAGTCGCAAGAATATAGCCACCGCTTACAGGCTGATGATGAAGTCCGAGGGACTCTGCTGCCAAGCTAGGAAGTTGGTTTGGTGAACCAGTTCCAACACTGAGGGTGCAGCTGCCAAGACAAAACCAATCACTTGTAGTTCCATCATTCTGGTTGCTGTTGGTTACTACATTAACCCAAAAATCTCCAACCTGAAAGATATCACCTGATTGAGTATACATATATACATAAGGTATGAAACCAGTTCTCGATAGATGAAGAATGGGAATAAACTGACCTCAAACTTTGGAGGAGGTGATGGAGGCATTTTAGCAGCATGTTTGACTACTAAGCTGTTAAGAAGGATATCAGTGCCTGGCGGTGGACCTTCTAAAAAGATTAGTACTTTAGATGGAAAACCATTGATAAGAAACTTTCCTTGCATCTGTACCCAATCAGAGTCCGTGGCATTCACACTGCAGAACTTGAATGAAACAAAAAAAAAACCCTGAATGTAAGTTGGATTAATATAGCAGAGAATCAAGAAAAGGGCAACAAGCTTGATTGAAAAATGATTCTCATTCAGATCAGTTTGTAAGATGATTAGAAACCAAGAATGTAGAACATGTCCTCATTCTAATTTTATAAGCTTAACCTTGCAATGAATATAAACTGCTGCCTAAAATCTGCTGTCTGAATCCACAAAGTGGCTTGAATGTTTGCCTCAGGTACATTTCCACCATATATCCTAACCACAGCAGTAAGCTCATAAGCCAGCTTCCTCTTTGCTCTCCCTGTCAGCTCCTGCTGAATCCCACTGCCTGAATCAGCACGCCCTGTCGTGGATATAAAGTATTTTCCAGACTGTGGAACAATTTTGCCATCAGACAATGAGTCATGTAGGATAATTTGACATCCTTTTCCAGCCCAATTACTGAGTCCATTGTCGAAATCAGGATTCAGCGCGATGCTCTCGTCTCCAAGAATCAAGGAACCTTGGCTCAAACTCTGAAAAGAAGCACATTGTACATGAACAGGTTACAATCACAAAGCTAGCAGTTTGGCGCAAATCTGAAGTAGTAACATTTCCATGTACAAACACATACCTTACAGTGTGAGCTATTGTTCAAATAGGTCCTTGGCGATTTCGGGTTGTCTCTTCCCCAACTGCAACTTGTAAAACAAATCAACACTAATAACCAAACAGACAGGATTTTGGATAGATTCACAAAATTCAGTCTGTGACCCATGATTTTGTATATTCTGTTTAGTCCCATTGACTTTATAAACTTAGCAGGTGTACTATTGCTGTACAATCTTTGCAATGCAAGTGTTTATATCTGCTGCTTGAGCAGAGATTATTTTTTTGTCCCCCGGATTTTTAGTCCACCATGTGAAAAATGGCGGTGGAGATTGACATTCTACATTTGTCAAATGATTAACTGATTATGGAGGCAACCCTTTTGCAGATTCATAAGGTAGATGTTCCGCATGTTACTCCATCCGTCCCATTTTTCCCTTTATTTCGAGCTAAAACAATATAATAAAATGATTCATTAAAATAAAACGGATAAAGTAAGTACATGTGTATGTTTAACAAACTACATTACTTGATATGAATTAGCAATGCAACTTTGAGTTAAGTTTCAAAATCAGTCTTTACACTTGGAATGATCTTGATCAATTCACAAGAAATGTTAAGTTCAGATTCACCTTTTCTTTTTTCCTTCTTCTTTCTTCTCGTGAAGATTGCCGTATAAACATTTATGAGGTTCATCGGCACCGCCATATCTTTGAATTAATTACTGCAGAATATATGTTGCTTTTATTGGTACAAGCAAACCGTTGTATAGCTTTTTCATTTTCTTGTAACGTAACCATATCAAACCTATAAAAGAAGAGTTTTTAGATTCATGGGTCAATCAAGAGTGCAAGTGACAGTTTAATGATCAATAGTTTTTAGTCTTTATAGTCTTTCCACATCAAAGTAAACGCAATTCAAATGAAATTTACACGTTTGTTAATAAATTATTTATTTATCAAAATTAGCTTAGTTCTTGGCAGTTGGCATTAAAAAAAAAAAAAAAAGATTTATTGATCTTTTGGCATCACTAACCACATAAGGAGACTTCAATCTTAAACTTCTCACAGAAAATCTACTTTGAAACATTACAGTATACTCAACTGAACCTCTAGCACTGCAAAAAACCACTTTAATTTTTGCTACATATTTACTCAAAGGAATGGGCATCCGTATCACAGATGTATGGATATGGCTTTTCACGTTATGACATTAGATGACTAATGGAATTTTATTTTAGAATTCTTCAATTCATTTATTAAATAATATATTACTCTGTAATGTCATATTACGCAAATGCCACATCAAAAAAAAAATAATCTTGATTGTTGAACTAAAACAATATAACAAACGGGACACAGCCTGATTAATAAATTACTGAGTTTTTTTTTTTTTTTTTGTTTTCTTCCGTTCTGTTCAATCTTAAGGGATAGGTAGAGATAATTATTATTATTATTAAATAAATATCTTAAATTCTAATCGACCCTTGTAATGACAATTTGCTTGGATATTGAACAACTCTCCTCCAGTCACTAAGAAGCGTGATTTGATACACGTATAAACTCTGCGCCTTCAAAGAAAACGCAAAATTCACATTAGAAACCCCACGGAGGAGGCAGGCGATTACCGTTAAACAGAGCTTGAGAGGACCGGCCTTGAGGTAGAAGAAGGGAAGAAAAACAGGGGATTTTACCTCAGGAATCACAGAGAATCAGAAACATGGGCGAAAAAATGCGTTTCCATTCATGCTTCCTAATTCAACCGCCGGGTAAACTTTTTTTTTGTGTAGTTACTTTTATTTGTATTGATTTCAGTGTTGTATATTGAGTCCTCTGTATTGTGTTTTGTTGGTTGTTGATCGTTTGGAAGGATTATTTGTTTGCTATGTGACATTTCTTGATGAATGTTGGTTCGTTAGAAATTAATCCCAGTTCTGCTCTGCGTTCTGAATTTGCCTAAACCCAATGCCACCATCATTTCATCTTGGTGGGCGTTTGTTAGTACTTTGCAAAGACTGTTCAAACTTATTGATTCTGGAAGAAAGACAGTATCTTGGCATAGTTTTTCTGCTGAGTGTATAAGTTGGATTGCTTAATCACTCGAGATTTCGATGTAAAAGTAGAGAAGGTAGACAAATAGCATAGTCAAATGAAAATAAAATCATGGGTTTCTTTTGACTGATTTAGCAGATTTGTGCTAGAAAAGGGTCCCTTCAAAGTTATAAATTAAGGTAGTTTAAGTGGTGGATGGTCTTGTGTTTGTCTTAATGCTTCTGTGAGATGCCCCCTTTGAGATGAAAAAATAATTCCTTTGCATATTTTCTTCTGTAATTGCATTTCTCATTGGTATGATTAGTTTGTTCTCTGTATGATGACCAATTGCCCTTATCTTCCAATGAGTTTTACTTTTGCACTCTTTTCGAGCCGATTGCTGTCTGTGATAGTCATCTTGAGCTCTTGCATGAAGATGAAGGATTGATTGAATGTTATTTATCATTTCTTTCAGTCACACTATGATCAAGTTTCAAGTCAAATCCGATTCATGAGCTGGGTAAGGAGTGATGACATCTTTTAGGAAATTAGCCAGCCGGACCCCAACACTCTCTTCTACTTTCTTTCATTCGCTTGCTCTAGGCAACCCATTTGGTCTAGAATGGACTTCTAGGCCTTCCTATCAATTTAAGGGCTCTCCAATTTTCAACTCAAGGATGACTAATGGGTTTTCAGAGTGCAAGTGTCGAGTTACTCACTCTTCACTATCATTTACAACCTTGGCTGGGACAGTTCTTGTGCAGGCACGGGACCCCAGTAAACTAAGCCAGCAGTTAGAAAATGCGATTGAAGACTGCAGGCTAAGTGATGCTTGGCATTTACATGAGCAGTACATGCACATGGAGGGGTTCCCTAGGAAATCTATTTTGAATAAAATTATTGCAGCATCGATAGAAAGTTTAGATATTCAATGGCTCGAGAAGGCTTATGGATTGTTTGAAAAATCCTTTGAAAAGAACAAGCAGAACCTCTTTGAAAAGGAAACTCTAATATATCTCTCGTTGGGTCTTGCTAGAAGTGGATTGTCTGTTCCTTCCTCAACTATTCTGAGGAAACTTATTGAGATGGAGCAATTTCCTTCTGTTAATGCTTGGGCTACAATACTTGCATACATGTCACAGACCTCCCCTGGAGCATATGTGGCAGCAGAATTGGTTCTCGAAATAGGTTTTCTGTTTCAAGATGGAAGGGTGGACTCACGTAAAAAGAAAAATGAACCTCTGATAGCCATGAAACCTAATGAAGTTGCCTTTAGCATTGCATTAGCCGGCTGTCTGATATTTAGTACTACAAGAAAGGCTGAGCAGCTCCTTGACATGATACCTCGTATTGGTTTGAAAACTGATGCAACCTTATTGATGATCATGGCTCATATTTACGAGAAGAATGGCCGCAAAGAAGAGCTGAAGAAGCTTGCTAGGCAAGTTAATGAATGTTATAATGTAAGTGATGTACAGTATCTTCAGTTTCATAATTGTTTGCTTTCTAGTCACTTGAAACTTGGTGATCTCGATTATGCCTCTCAAATGGTGCTGGATATGCTTCGGAAGGCAAAGAAAGCTCAAAATTCCATTGATATTAAAAAATTAGTGGTTGAACCCACTGAAAAGGTTAAACAATTAACTTCGGGAGAAATCTCTGTAGATTATTTGCGCTGTGGGAAACCAGATGGGCCAGAATCTCCTACATTATACTCTCTTTTGCCTTACGAAAGTTTCTGTAGGGACAGGAAATATTTGAAACTACAGGAAGAAGCAAAGGAATTCCTGCATGTGTTAATTTGCAAGGTTAATAGCCAAGTTGAACTACTTACCAGCAAACATGGTGTTCTCCAGCCAACTGAGAGACTATATGTGGTACTGGTTAAGGCTTTTTTGGAAGTTGGAAGAACAAAAGATTTGGCAGAGTTTTTAATCAAGGTCGAGAAAGAAATGTCCCCGACTTCTGTGGATAGTTCAGTCTTGGTTCATGTCATCAAATCATGCATATCAATTGGATGGTTAGACCAGGCTCATGATCTTCTCGATGAAACACGCTTGGCTGGCATTAGAACTGGTTCCTCTGTATATTCAGATCTTCTAAAAGCATATTGTAAGGTTAATCGGACAGGAGAGATCATGTCCTTGGTCAGAGATGCCCGTAAAGCTGGGGTTCAACTAGATGCAAGCTGTTATGAAGCATTGATTGAGTCTCGGGTGCTTGAAAAGGATACTCAGGGGGGCCTTTCTCTTTTTAAGGAGATGAAAGAGGCTAAATTACGCAGGGGTGGCAATCAGGACCTTCAGATTTTGGTTAAAGGTTGTCGTGAGAATGGAGAAACTAGTTTAATGGCTAAACTCTTGCAAGAACTCAAGGAGGGTCAGAAAAATGATAGTGGTGTTCATGACTGGAATAATGTGATTCACTTTTTCTCTAAGAAAAGGCTGATGTCAGATGCTGAAAATGCATTTAAGAAAATGAGGAGTTTGGGGCATTCCCCTAATGCACAAACATTCCATTCCCTTGTGATGGGTTATGCTGCTATTGGATCAAAGTATACAGAGGTTGCTGAATTATGGGGTCAGATGAAGTCTTTTGCCTCCTCCAGCAGGATGAAATTTGATCAGGAGCTGTTGGATGCTGTTCTTTATACCTTCGTTAGAGGTGGTTTTTTCACTAGGGCTAATGAGGTTGTGGAGATGCTGGAAAATGGAAACATGTTTATTGACAAATATAAGTATCGGACCCTTTTCCTGAAGTATCATAAAACTCTATTCAAGGGTAAGGCTCCTAACTTTCAGACAGAATCACAGATGAAAAGAAGAGAGGCGGCCTTACGCTTCAAAAAGTGGGTTGGTTTAGGTTGAAGTCGAGCTCTGTATCCAAATTGGCTCAGTTCAGGGATGTTTTATGAATGGATTTTAAAGTAGATAAAAATTGCATGAGAAGACATAATTTGAGAAGAAATAATTGCAATTATCAAGTTTCAGGCAATTGGTTGTTTTCAGCTCTATTTGGTGATTGGTGATGACCGCAAATATTCTGGAAACAAACATATCAGAGCTTATTTTCTGAATCCATTCTGACCAATATATGTCATCGTATACTCATGGTCAGTTCAGTATTTCAATTATGAGTTGTGACATTTCTTCTGGAAATTTTGTTTTGGAAAGTTATATGAATTCAGCATTCTAATCCATTCTTATCTCGATATGTAGGGTGCATTGCACGGGACTTCCCTCAGACTCTTTGGCGATACAGCTACTAAAGGACTTACATAACAGGTAACTATTCTGATAATTTGTTTGTGTTTTCAAAATTGCTGTCCAAACTTTGTATAAGAAAGTTAAAACAAAACTATTACTACTTTGTTTTGAATTTTGAAAAGGATTGTGCTTTGCTTCACTATTTGCTTTCTGTTCTAGTTTGTTTCTTTAATTATGCGTGTTGACATATTCAGTACGTGATATATGTTGCTTTGGAAAATGCGAGCAGCCTAATGTTCGATTTTGTAGGATTTCACTTAGAGGCTGTATGATTTGAGGCTCAATCTATCACATTCCAATTCCTTCTCAATGACACATTCCGTTCCCTGGCTCATCATATGTCAATTTATTCAAATCAACCGGGGTTACAACTATAAAATGGCTCTTTGGCTAAGATGGTACAGAAAACGCTTCCATTTTGGTTTGACATTTCATAAGGAACTAGATTATTGAGTTATTAGATATAGTATGATGATTTGTACCTTTGAAGGAGAGTTGATTTGCTGTTGAGCTCAGTTTTTCTACGGATAAAAAGCCTATGTTGTGCAACAGGGTGGAAGGATTTTGGAATTTTATCTTTCGTTTTTGACCAAGATCGAGTCTTTTATGACTCTTTGGTGCTAGAATTGGTGCTCTAATCCTAGCACAAATTGGCTCTAATGACCCTATAAGAAAAAGTAGAAGCCTTCTGGAATCTGGATGAACAAGAAAAAGTGAACCCTTATCTTTATTTTCAGTTTGTAGAATAACTTCAATGTTTGATGAATCATCAGAGATTTAAAGGAAGCTTCTTTTCCCTGTTGTATGAAATCTTTTTTCCAGCTGCTTCTGTGATAAATATTGTATAACATGATTGACCGATTTTTTTCACTACTTTTTTTTTCCCATTTTTGTGGATTGGATTACTGTTGTAAAGTGCACACAGTTTGTAAACATTCCATTTGTAATTTATCCGGTAGAATTTTTTTCCCCCCATTTTTATCTTCTTTTGTGTACCAAAACAACATTCTAAGCGCCATTAACTTTATTAACTTGAATAGTCATCATTATATAAGCTTTTGTTTGGTAAAAGATTCAGTCCACTAAATAATACTATGAATATTAAAACAGCCTTATTGATCATATGTTATAATTAACTCATTGATGATGTTTAGCATTTTTAACGGAAAGTTGTGCTGACAAACTTTTGATAATGACTCGTTAAATTAAAGATTATTCTGGTGCTAATGGCATTTGTATGACTTGAGGAACTTTCTTCCCTTTCTAGAACTCTTTTCATTTTTAAGCTCAATTAATTTGACCAATGAATTTTTACCAACTTTTTTTTTCTCTTTTTTCCCAATTTGATTTTAATGTTTTATTCTTTTAATTCTCCTAATCCATCTGTCTCGAAAGGATTATCAACAATCATTTCAGGACGGAAAGAATATTGATTGACCATACGCTAATGTCAATTCCTGATTAAGCAAAAAAATTAACCAATATTTAATTATGGGACATTGCATTCAAAGTATTAAAAAAAAAAACCAAAATCAGATGAAAAACCAACTTTCTGGACAAGTTGATATTTATCATTGAACAATTCAACCGGTAAGAATTTTAATGTTCTTCAAGTGGGCTCCATCTTTCCCCCATACCATTTGCCAGTTCCTCGACCGAAAACAAATTTCACATTTCCTCTGTCCAAATACATTTCCTCAGTTCTGCCACTGTTGCAGCTCTGCATAAGTTTTTTGCACATATTATAAACTCATCCCACGAGAATTTACATTACAAAGGTCATACAGAAGTGGTGAAATGGGCTCTGAGGAGGTGAAAAAGAAAGATTCAAATATGGCTCCTGAAACAGCCCAGGATGGAAGTTCAGCAGAAACAGAGAATCAGAAGAGAAATGATGGTGATGATCAGAAGAAGGGAAAGAAGAAGAACAAGAGGCGGGGGAACTTCTTAACGCGGAGGCTGAGTTGCTTGAGATTGGACGATGAAGTTCCGACAGTTGATGAACCGACTGGTGGCGGCGGCTTTAATCTGCAGGCTGAGGATCGTTCTCCGACTCATTTAGTCGTCATGGTCAACGGCATTATCGGAAGGTCTGTTTTTTTCAATCCACTTAATTATGGTTTCCTTTAATCTTTTTCCTTTGTCATGATTCCTTGCTAAATACAATGGGATAGCAATGATTTGTTTCTGCTATGATTTAGCTCATCCTGCCACTGTAATAAGAAAAATAAACTGTAAATTCCACCTAATTGAACCTTTTTTGGTGATGCTAAAAGATAGTTCCTTTATTACTGGAAACCATCAGTAGTTTTACAACTTTTGCTACTATGTATATAAATTGGCCAGTTCATAGTACTTATAATGTCTATTATATATGTTGGGAATATATTATTTTGTGCTTGGATTTCGAATGTAATGGTTGTAATGGTAGGATATTCATATTGGTTTCGATCTTATAAACTAAACTAGAATTTGAGGATTGTAAAATCCTTGGAATAGATTCCTTGTATTGTCTAGCACTTGGTAAATGTATAACCTTTTTAGTCATGTATTCTGTTTTGTTTCATGTTACAAATTGCTACACCTTGAACAAACTATGGCAAGATAGGCTTCTTAAATCGTGTGGCTGTGTTAGATTAAAATTACATATCTGTTATCCCGTTATGATTGCAGTGCTGAAAATTGGAAGTATGCTGCAAAACAATTTGTGAAGGCGTATCCTCACGATGTTCTGGTTCATTGTAAGTATTTTTTCGTCCATAAAAATTAAAAATTGCTGGGATAACTTTGTTTTGCTGAAAAATCTCTCCCAAATGATGTTTTTCTTCTGATTCTTAGTGAAATGTATCTGTCTCAACTTCTTTTTATCTAATTGAACAATTTCAATAGAAATGTGGCTGTGGTCTCTCATTAACATCGTATGCTCTTTTTACCCAGGCAGCGAGGCTAACTATGCTTTTTTGACATTTGATGGTGTTGATGTAATGGGCAATAGGTTAGCTGAAGAGGTTTGTGTCTGTTCTTTCTTTGTAGAGGCATTAAGCATATAGTATACTAGTCTTGAGGTTGTCATTGTAATATTTTTCACATCAAGTTTGATTGTGTGTTTTCCGCAAATATGCAGGTGCTATCTGTTGTTCAGAAGCATTCCAATCTTCAGAAGATATCTTTTATAGGCCATTCGCTTGGTGGCTTGGTAATTAGGTATGCTATTGCTAAGCTATATGAACCAGATTTTTCGAGAAAATCAGATGGAGAAGATGGAGAGAATAAATGTGAAGGTCCTAACTCATTATCCGAAGACAAATTGAATGGCAAAATTGCTGGGCTTGAACCTATTAATTTTATTACCTCTGCAACTCCTCACCTTGGTTCAAGAGGTCATAAACAGGTGAACAAGTGATCCCCTGCCGTGTGCCCATTTTCCAAGTATTAGTTCCCCTAAGAATTTAAGCTATAAACGGGTGTACTTAGAAGAAAGTAGTCTTCTCCAAGTAGTAGGCTAACAACTACGCCCATTCTATTCATATAGTCATTCCCTGATTAAACTTGGGTCCCGTGATCGCACTTCTGTTTCTTTCATGAATTCTGTTGTCAATCTCTAATGGTTTCTCCTGTAACCTTTGTTCATGGCACAATGTTCTTTAGTGCATCTCTTCATCCTGTCTTCCTGTATCTTACAATAACGAAAATCTTAATCTCTGGAAAAATTTACAGGTACCAGTATTCTGTGGCTCGCATGCCTTAGAGAAAGTAGCATCACGTGCAGCAGGGATTCTTGGAAGAACGGGAAAACATTTGTTTCTAACGGATAAAGATGATGGGAAGCCTCCACTTCTGCTTCAAATGGTCAATGACACTGAAGAACTTCCATTCATGTGAGTGGAAGTAATATATCAGTGTTGTATTCTGTACATTTTGTCAGCCTTTCCTTAACCTTGTTTCTTTCTTTACAATTTTCCAGCTCTGCGTTGCAGTCATTTAAGCGACGAGTTGCCTATGCCAATGTCCGTTTTGATCGTATCCTCCTTGAACATAGTGTTATCTTTTCATTTTTCTCCCTGCGAAAGAACTTACCTCTATAATTGAGAATGTTTAACGACTGTGGAACTTGAAAAACTTAACTTTCTTTAGATCTTGTTGGGTGGAGTACTTCCTCTTTGAGATATCGGAATGAACTTCCTAAGGTACTGTGTGTATAAAACATTGAAATTTTTTAAGTCGTCTGAAGAGATGATTTAATAGATTTTTTGTTCTCAGCGAAGAAACCTGTTGAAAAACGAGAAATACCCACATATTGTGCACATTGAGAGTGCAAAAGCTACCATTTCTCCAGAAGAAAACTCTTCGGAGAGCGTGAAGGTCAAGAGATCTAAGACTAGCAACATGGAAGGTTTGTGCCCTTTTTTTCGCCTCAGCAAATGACATTTTAGCTTGAAACCTTTTACAGGGTTGTCATATTTGCAACGTAATCATGCATCAGTTATGCATTTCTCTCTCTTTTTTTGGGGTCACGATATCCTTTCTTCTTCCATATTTGCAGAAACCATGCTCAGAAATTTAACGAAACTGAGTTGGGAACGTGTTGATGTCAGCTTCAGTGGAAGTATTCAGAGGTTCTTTGCTCACAATACCATTCAGGCACGTACATTGATTAAACTTGTCAATCTCTCACTTTGGTTTTATTCTATGCCGACCTAATCTTCGACAGAAATTTGCATCTGCCATTAACAAGGATTGCAATGAGCTGACGCAAAATCATTCTCTTCGCCTCTTATGTTCAGGTACAAACTCACCTCACCAATTCTGCTGGTAAAGATGTTATACAACATACAGTCGACAAGTTTCTATTGTAGAAGCCGCAGATAGGAATCCCTTTGATTTCATTAGGACAGATTGGTCGCAAGATTTCCTGCTATCTTCGGTATTTATATAGTAAATCCGTGTCTACCTTGTGGTTCAGGTAAAGAGGTATTGCATCAATTCTGATGGTGCCGATGTTATACAACACATAATCGACACTTTCTTGCTATAGTTATGAAATCACACTTAACTCTGCACCAGGCTCCAGCCACGTCTTAGTATAAAAAACTATGTCAGATCATCATTTAGATTATAGGAATTTTGTTGTTTAGATCTTCAAAGGAGGCAGGAACCAAATAGGTTCATAGCTGGACACTATTGTGAAAATACTGTAATCTTATTGTAGTACTCTCTCCGTCCCACAATCATTGTTGCGTTTATTGTAGAGTGTAGACGGACGGAGTATAATGTAATTTTTAGATTAAATTTCTATCAATGTATTAAGGTAGAAACATGTAACTTGATGCAGAAAGTTAGTCATTAACTCTCATTATTAAACAATTTTTTCAAATTTCTATCGTCTCAGAAAAATAGTTCACGAAATGAAAATAAACATTCTTCAAATAAAAAAAAAAAATATGATTGTACGAAAGACGTACAAATACAATGGGTTGAACGCTTCAAAAACCTACCCTCAAACAACTGGATCCAATCTTTCAAAAAAAAAAAAAAAAAAGATAGCAAAGAATTGTACGGAAAAGCGAATGGCCCATTCAATTTCAAGCAACCATTTCTATGCAAAAGATCAGAGTTACTGTAACAATAATTCCACCTCTTCACTAGCCGATGTCCCCATAACATGGACAACAACATTGAATTTATTTACAATCTTAAAGGTTGTTTTTCCATTTTTTATTTTTTTTTTACATTTTTACAATTTTAATGCTAAGAGACAAATATTAAAAGAACATTTCAAATAGACATAATAACAAAATGGAAATGCAAAATCATTTATTTAAATATTAGACCAATGTAAAAAATTCTATCGTGGTACGCAGGAGACAAAAATATAACTCGTTGTTTACTTTTGGAAAGCACGTACAGGCACACGAGTGGTTCCATTATATGACATTATTTTAATTTAAAGTTAAAAAAAAAAAAGAAAAAAAAATAGACTTGGCAAAAAGTGCAATAATTATTTCCCGTACTTTGGCCATATCCTCGTTTTTAATCTGTAATTATGATCCGTAATACACCATTAGAATACATGACACGTAAACATTATTGGTACATATACTAATCGATCGATGGATGCAAATAATGATGCATATATCATGATTATAACATTTCACAACAATTTATATCAATGTTGGACTTAATTATAAGATTTGCAGCTTGTAGTCTTCAAGGAATATTTACTAATGAGGTTAAAATGATTATGTATGATTAACCGTCAAATTTCAGCATCACCTTATCTGGGGAACCTTTAAAGATTATAAGTAATCAATCGTCAAATATTAATCCTTCCGTCTTCAAATAATTGTTTTGGTTTAAATTTATTTTTACAAAAATTGTTATATAGTGCTGCTCACAACTGGACAATAGGTACAAGAGATTATTAGGATGCCCTTTATTTTGGCAGACATACTACGGAAAAATTTGATATCAACCATGATTTGTTTCTCCAATTTTTCAGTGTTTTAAATCATCACGAAATTCAACTTGACAGGAATTATGATTTGAGAGGGCATTGATATGACCATATATAGATATAGGCTAGGAAAGCTATGATTACAGATATTACTGTAGCACTAAAAACCCACCAAAAACCCGGCCTTGGAAACCATAAACTGTTTGCGTGGATTTGTAGCCAAACTTTTTGTTTCTCTTCATCGCATTCAGCACTCTTTATCATATCTATTCCTCCCTCCGTTTTAAAATGTAAGTATGTTTAAACTTTGCACGTAAATTAAAGAGACAATCATCTCACAATTAATTTATGTGTTAAATATCCATTTTATCCCTCATTAATTACACTGAAACTATAAACAAAATTAAATGAAAATAGATTGACATCATTTATTGAATGTAAAGTTAGAAAATTAATCATTAATTTACCTAGAATTTGTAAAACGACCTACATTTTGAAAAATCTCTCCAAATCTAAAACGACCTATAGGAGTATCTACTCAACTAAAACCCTAGCTAACATGTTGTCAACTTACTTACTCCATTTATTGTAAAATCTTTTTGGGTGTATAGACATTCTGTTTGAGGAGAAATACAAATGATTTGGCTAAAATAGGGAAGAAGAGTACGGAAATGATTATATAACACAGTGCATGTACATAGAATAACATCACGAGTGTTTGGATAAATTTTCTTTGCATGTTTTTTATTGGAAATATAAAAACAAAAGAAAAAAAAATTACTCCCTCTATCCTAATTCAATAGGCTCACTTTACTTTTTAGAATGTTTCAAAACTTAGTCCCACTTTAAACAATAAATTAAGTTTTATTATAAACTCTCTAATATACCATTTCTACTTTCACTGAAATCAAGAACATTTATTAATTTTAACAATTACTCTCTCATATTGACGAAGTTGGATTTGTACGGCGCCTTAGGACGATCAGTGATGATGATCTATGCGGCGACGAACGGCCTAAAACCTGCAAGACAGAGCCTCGGGTGTCCTCGGTTCCCGAGGGTAAACTCTCCAATGCTTAAATCAATAAAGGAATAGAGATAATAGAAAGAGGGATGTGTATCGTGTGTAGAAGGTGTAGAAGATAAGTAGAAAATATGAATTACGAGAGAGACACCACCTCTTTATATATATTGCTCGAGGGATAGTTACCCCTTTGAAGAGGTGTATCTCTCGAAACTTCAATCCTCGAAATTCCCCCTTGCTAATCTGTAAAATTTTAAAATCTTTAGGGACCAAATAATTAAAATTATTGGGGATTAAGTGGCAATTTTCAAATCGAAGAATTGTTCCCGGCTGAATATTCTGCCTCTTCGAGGGATAGTTACCCCTTTGAAGAGGTGTATCTCTCGAAACTTTAATCCTCGAAATTCCCCCTTGCTAATCTGTAAAATTTTAAAATCTTTAGGGACCAAATAATTAAAATTATTGGGGATTAAGTGGCAATTTTCAAATCGAAGAATTGTTCTCGGCTGAATATTCTGCCCCTTTTGACGGATTTTGAACTCCATGGACTATTCTTCTCGATCAGCTGTGGAGCAAGTACAACTCCTCGAATTCTTTGTGCAACCGAAAGCTTCTCTATGCTACTTGCTGGCTAACGTCTTCTTGGTCAAACAAAGATAATTTTTTTGTGGGATCTTCTAGTTACAAAATCGGAGTAACGAATTAATACCGTGGCTGCCCAAAGATACATAAAATTCCGTGCTTCGCTAAGAAATTTATTTGGTTGTGAAGACCAAACAAATCGGTCTTACCGGGCGTGCCACTTGACAAAGCTTGGATTTGTATGGCGCCTTAGGACGGCCGGTGATGATGATCCATGCGGCGGCAGACGGCCTAAAACCTACAAAACAAAGCTTCGGGTGTCTCTCGATAGTAGACTCTCCGATACTTAAATTAATAAAGGTATAGAGATAATAGAGAGAGTAATGTGTATCGCATGTAGAAGGTGTAGAAAATAGGTAAAAAAATATGAATTATGAGAGAGGCGCTACATGTTTCCTGAAATTCTAGCGGAATAGGTTTAGACGGTGGTTTAATCTCCAAATAACTTAATCGTAGGCCTAATGGTTAATTTATGACTCGTCACAAATCCACTACTAACTCACTAGTCATTAATAGGGGTGTAGTAGGAATTTCATTTAAAATTAATCACATAAAATACATTACCCAATTTTTCTTAATTTTCGTATATATCTGAATGGGTCTATTAAATTATTATGAAGGGAGTGGTATTAAAATAATCAATAATGGACATGACAATCATAGTGGATATGACAATCATGATTATGCAAAATAACCAATTCTGCACCTTAACCATTTAAAACAACGAAACATTGATTGAAGGTTACTTCTGTTTTCCATACACATTTATGATTACCTGATTAGTTTCAAAACTATTTCACCTCATGAAAACATGTTTTTTTATATCTATAATATGATACTAAGAGAAAAACTAGAGAGAGAAAATCAAATTTCTTCTCACGTTGCTATATTAGATAAAATCTTATGTGTCAATTTCCTATAGGTTGTTATAAAAAATATTTACAACAATTACATAAAAAGTCCTTTGAATTTTTAGTTATTGAAGTATTAAAATTTTGCAATTAAAGTATATCAATTAATTGTATTGTAAACTTTCTATTTTGTATCTGCTGAGATGAAAAAAAACGGAATATTTATTAAAGAATCTACAGTAATGCCTTTTTTCCCATTATGTGTCACCCAAAAAAGAAATATTTATTTGATTCATAATAAAAACTTATTGATTTGAGAAACTAATCCAATTTACAGGAATGATGCCATCACATATTGAATCAAACATTAAACAATTTTAATGATTTTTTGAAATTCAAAAAATAATTAATAATTAATGCCAAGATTCTTGGTTATTCTTCTAATCTTTCATTCTCGGTGAAAATGGCTCCCCTCAATTTAATATACCACCCATTAATTATCAAACTCAAAAAATTAGCGAATCCCTTAATTACGACTAATATAGGATGATATGCAATTTCTAAATGACGAGACTCAAAACAACTGTATATTAATGACAAAATATATGACAATTCAACTGCATCAAGCATGTGTTTGGCACAATAAATTGAAAATAATGCTTTAAAATTAGGAAAATGTTACAATAATAAATTAATCAAATCAATGTTTATTTTCTTGCCTTTAAATACAAAAGGATTCTCATGCATATATCTTTCTCAAATGAAGACTAATATAAACATCCCTCTCAAATATCTAAAAATAAAGAGTTGAATACCTCCATTAATTATTCATTTTTTGCTAAATTATTAATTATTAATTTTTGAATTTGAATTTAATTAACGCATGACCTGTCATTTATTTCCGAAAAGGAAACTTGATAAATATGAAATAAAATTTCTAAAATATCTCAAATTATGGGTGTTTAAATCATATGATGATAAAAAAAAATATTGATGCTATAGAAAGAAAACTATTGTATTAACACGATAATATAGAATGTTATCTTTTTATTAAACTATACAAGCAATCACTCCCTAATTGAAAGTAATTGCATTTTTTTTGTTTCTATGCTTCACCAATAAATACGACCCTTCATCTTTTTGTTCCCCAATTTTTTTTCCTGTTCGATTGCTCCATAAAATAACAATTTGTTTTAGTTTATGAAATTGTTTTTTTTTTATAAGCCGATTTTTTTCACTGATTTATGAATCTTTATTATGTCTCAATGATTATTTCTATTTTGGAAGGGCGTACATGATATGGGCGTAAAGAGGCCGTAAAGATCCATCTTTTTAAATATAAGTGTTTTGCCGCACATAGTTCTTCAAAATAGAGAACAGAAGTCAAGG